ATTTTTTTCACTTGCAAAATAATTATTTTTCTTATCGATCGCTGCTCCGATGGCCTAGTGGTAAGAGCGTCAGCCTCAAATGCGGGAGGTCGTGGGTTCGATCCCCGGTCGAGTCATACCAAAGACTTACAAAAGTGTTACTAACAGCTGTCTCGCTTAGCGCTCAGCATTATGAGGCTAGTGTTAGGACTGGTCGGTCTGGTGTCAGGATAATGTGACTGGGTGGGACATTATGCTACATGTTTGCGGCATGATGCCCCAATGCTAAACATCACTATAAACTGCCAGACATCGTAGCGATATGACAGAAAAGTTGTTAAAGTTAAGTTAAAAATCATAATCACCTCACCTCACCTCACCTCACAATCGGATCTCCACTATCCTATGACATCGACCACGTAGAGGGCATATTCTGGTTACCTATGTTTTATAACCATAACTGGAGCAGTCAGTCACTTGAAATTTTATATCTTAGCGTTTGGGAGACAAAGCAGTACGGCTGAAGAACATCAATGTGTGCCGAATATTTTAATACATTTTTAGACTTCTAAAAGCTGCATTTCTACTATCTAATTCAAAAGTGACCAGAACAAGACCCTTAAGCTATCTGTACGTAGAACAGCGTAGATACGATTTTAATCAGATTGAGAAACGGTATTTCCAAGATATTGTCATACATCCAGTACTATTTTCTTATAGCAAAGTACAACCTTTACAACGTTTGTCTCGGTTGCACCTGTATTCTTTCTTTAAAGATAAAAATACTTGCAAGTAGTTTAATATTGTATATAAGTATATTATAGCAGGTATTTAATCCAGTTATTTTTTACTTCTGGATTTGATTTGGTTTTGAAACAATATATTTGCATGCACATTTCCCTTCATAAATTGTTGAGTTTTTGTTTTATGACAGTATCTTATCTTTTACAACCACTTTACAACGCATTAACCGCTCTGGTGGCCTAGTGGTTAGAGAGTCGTCGCGGTTGCGGAAGGTCGTGGGTTCGAACCCTGAGTGAGTCACACCAAAGACTTTAAAAAATGGTACTAATAGCTGCCTCGCTTGGCGCTCAGCTTTAAAAGGTTAGCGTTAGGACTGGTTGGTTTTGTGTCAGGATAATGTGACTTGGTGAGACATCATTCCACATGTCGTCGGTATTGTGCCCCAGTGCTAAACATCCTTATAAACTGTCACATTGCAGACATTGTAGCGATATGACTGAAAAGTTCTTAAAGCTACGTTACAAACCTAAATCACACACACACACACACACACACACACACACACACACACACACACACACACACACTACAACGTTTTATTGATGTCTATGTTTTATACAGAGTAGATATAAATTGTGGACATGGTGTTACCTTAAACGGCACGGAGTTATGTCGGTGCACACAGCAGTGATTCATTCCTTACTTGCTCCTAATTAAGAGACGAGTGCAGAACATGTCATTATTTTAAGAAGGTAATCATTACGTGGATAACATTTCTTAGCAATGATTTACATACATACTCTTTTATTTTTAACATCTCGTCTCCACCAATCAGGTTAAGAATTGTTTGGGTCGACTGAACATCGCCTGAAGTAATACTTGGTCTCGGCAGACTTATGACTGAGGGATTGTAAAATCCATGCAACATGAATTTACAACATGAATACCTAATGATTGTTTGCATACAGTAAATGTTAGAGAGGTTTCTAAATAATTGTCGATCCCTCGGAAATCATGTGTGACTCATTAGTGATGATACACGATGTTTCAGTATTTTTACCCTGTAAGTTACTTCTCAATGCACGTTGTACAGATAACAAGTATTCATATTATTAAGTCCCACACGTTGTCGAAAATCTTTCCTTGTGATAATCTCATGTGAGTTTATAAAACAGAATAAATCAAAATGTGTTCTGTTTAAGTAAAGTTTTGCCATTTTCTCCATGAATAAATGAAACACAAAAATATACCTTTTCCTTACAGCCTGGGATTGCAGGATTTTCAGTTTCATTTTAATTTCATTTTAAGCGTGTATATATATATATATATATATATATATATATATATATATATATATATATATATATATATATATATATATATATATATATATATATATATATATATATATATATATGCATCCCTCTTACCTATAAAAAGTATTGGGTTTTTTGTTTTTTTTGTTTCACTTTTAAATTGTATTCATTGAACACAGGTATATAGATAACCGGTACACTTTGATACAGGTCCTGGTGAAAGAAAGTCGACATCAAGGCTCGGCTGTCCACCTTTATCTAAATAAGCCAGTTCTTATCATCAAAAACTCGACATTATAGCTACATTTAAAATGCAGGACACTTGAACGCTTGACGTCAAAGCCAGGACCTAAAATCATCTTATTTGATGTGAAAGCATAATCAATTTTGTATTAATTTATACGTTTAATGTTGATGTTTCTACAAATATAATTTGCAGCATTCAGCATACTTTTGTATGTGTTAAGTACTTGATAAGAAAACATTCGACACTGCAAACGAGACTTTTCACAGCTGCTCATCGTTATCGACGGTCTTGATAAAAATTTGTTTTACCATCTAACTACATTTCGTGGTCCTAAATGCAATGTTGTATTGTTAGATCACCAATATTCAGGTAGCTTGATCCTTTTTTATTTATACCATAAAGACCTTACTTTGGAATTATTTTTAAATCTTTAAAACATTGCTTATGGTATAACAGTTTAATTGGTTGGTGGGCGAAGCATTCAAAGGACGTTATAACCTGGACGAACGGTGTATCAGGTCAGCCCTATCATTCAATTGTATTAAAAGTATGGATAGGTTATCGTCCAAGCTATCTCACAAAATTTCACTTTTCCTCGTATAACTCGTCCCACATGAAATATCGGTTTGGCGCCCTTAGATTCCATACAAATTAATTTTGATTTTGGTTAAAATTGCAACGCCAGTGAAAAACTGTGAAATCTACTCAAAATCGTTCGTACGTACTTATTCATATGGTTGTATCTGTTTCTGGACTTAAATAGTACAAAATGCCTAATGTAGATGCCTTCGTACAGGTCAGAATTGCGGGTGGGTGCGTCGGAAATTAATTTGTATGCACATGCATAAACACAGACAATACAGATATCCTGGAAACTCCAGCCTACAAGGACACCTGCTAATAAAGTACTAAATTGTACTCTCCCTCAAAGTTCTCTTTTATGTAGATTTTCCTATATATCTCAAGAAGTATGAAGCGTCGATACGTTTTGACCAGTTGAGTATTTCACACTTTTCGTGTCCTTGATTTCGTATCTGTCAGAATGTTATATCGTGGTGGAAATATCTGCATGCTTGCCTACATCTTCGCTTGCCTAGCAAATGTTGCTTACCACTGATGTCTTTATAACGTACTTCTGAGAAAGCTACTCGTAGTGATTGTCTCTGCAGTCTGCATCAAACCTAACCACTGCGACTGTCCATCGATTTCTAATGTACTAAGTAGGTGCATCTATAAATACAGACAGTTGTCATTACATTCCAAGTAATCCGAAAAGAAGGCCAGTAATTAATGTCCGTAATTAAGAATCATTATTTCACAGTGGTAGCAAACACAAAGATCAAAGTATCGTTTATTATTCCACATTGGTAGCAAACAGAAAGATTAAATTATTATTTATTGATCTTTATTTAGCTGAAACGTGGACTTGTTTACCAAGATATAATGTTGCGTTTTTTCTTTCAGGCAAAATGCGGCAAATACCACACCCACAATAGAAAAAGTTTTCAACGCTTTTCTTTATCGAATTATATGTATGTATGTATGTATGTATGTATGTATGTATGTATGTATGTATGTATGTATGTATGTATGTATGTATGTATGTATGTATGTATGTATGTTTTTCATGAATATGATTCAGATCCCAGTCAATTTCACCTCTTGATCTAGTGACATTTTCCCCTAAATTAAAGCAGTCGCAAAACGTGCGAGAAAAGAAAAAAGGTAGTTCACGTTTCTTTGATTACAACATAATTATTTCACCCGGGATGGACCTGAGAATTTCCCTTTTCTCACGTGGGGTTACTTGTTTACATTGCAAAACCACGATATTGTAACTAAATAAATCAATACTGTTCTAAATTTAGTGTCCCAGGTACCTGGATATAATGTTTTTGCACACTCACTTGGTGATGCATTGACTGAACAGATAATACGATTACTAGGGGATTTACAAGGCCAAAGCGAATACAATGGTGATTGTCAAGGTCTAAGAATTCTAGCCTGCGATTGGTTGATCTATGCACCAATCAAATTCAGGTGTATTTAGGTCCAGGTGGCCTGGAAAGTAGACGTCGCTTTGATGTCAAAGTTAGCCCTGCATAATAGCGTTTCAAACGATGCACAGGTAAGCCAATGACACCACGCTAGTTACAGACCTCCGCTTGTTTAGATGTCACAGATTAATGATAATGTACAGCTATATTATTTTACACTGCGTCCCTGATACAAAAAGATATGACTTGTCAACTGTTTGAAACGACTACCGCGTTATATTACTAGCTCACATTGTATTCTGTTCAAATTTTAAATTGGTCCTTTAGGTATGTGATAAAATCGTTGAGTTTTTTTTAAAATTAGATGTATGTATGTATGTATGTATGTATGTATGTATGTATGTATGTATGTATGTATGTATGTATGTATGTATGTATGTATGTATGTATGTATGTATGTATGTACGTACGTACGTATGTATGTGATTGTGATTTTTAAAGTAGTTTTAACAATTTTTCAGTCATATCGCTACGATGTCTGCACTGTGGCAGTTTATAGTGATGTCTAGCACTCGGGCATCCTACCGCAGACATGTAGCATGATATCCCACCCAGTCACATTATTCTGACACCAGGCTGGCCAGTCCAAACACTAACCTCTTAATGCTGAGCGCCAAGCGAGGCAGCTGTTAGTACCATTTTTGTAAGTCTTCGGTATGACTCGATTGGGGATTGAACCCACGACCTCACGCATCCATGGCATACGCTCTAACTACTAGGCCACTGGATCGGTTGTATGTATGTATGTATGTATGTATGTATGTATGTATGTATGTATGTATGTATGTATGTATGTATGTATGTATGTATGTGTGTGTGTGATTGTGATTTTTAAAGTAGTTTTAACAATTTTTCAGTCATATCGCACCGATGTCTGCACTGTGGCAGTTTATAGTGATGTCTAGCACTGGGGCATCCTACCGCAGACATGTAGCATGATATCCCACCCAGTCACATTATCCTTATACCAGGCCAACCAGTCCTAACACTAACCTCTTAATGCTAGCGTCGAACGAGGCAGCTGTTGGTACCATTTTTGTAAGTCTTCGGTATGACTCGATTGGGGAATGAACCCACGACCTCACCCATCCGTGGCGGACGCTCTAACTACTAGGCCACTGGATCGGTTGTATGTATGTATGTATGTATGTATGTATGTATGTATGTATGTATGTATGTATGTATGTATGTATGTATGTATGTATGTATGTATGTATGTATGTATATATATATATATACATATATATACATATACATATATATGTGTATACATATACATATATATGTGTATATATATATATATATATATATATATATATATATATATATATATATATATATATATATATATATATATATATATATATATATATATATATAGATGCAATAAACTGACGACGAACAGTACGAAACTAGTAACTAACTAGCCTAAGCGCTTTCGACTCCCAATGAGTCTTTTTCAAAGGCAAATACAAAACATAGTTACGACAAACAAATAAACACAAAAACGTTGCGTTTGTAAACCTCTACATTTCTATCTTCACATGTGATTAAACTATAAATACAACCAGCTTGTGTAGTGTAGACTAGTTGCAGAAACTGAAAACGTTGTATAATTCCCTAAAAGTCTACAAGCCAAAGCGACATCTATTTTTAGGGAATTATACAACGTTTTCAGTTTCCGCAACTAGTCTATACAAGCTGGTTGTATTTATAGTTTTAGCACATGTGAAGATAGAAATGTAGAGGTTTACAAACGCAACGTTTTTGTGTTTATTTGTTTGTCGTAACTATGTTTTGTATTTGCCTTTGAAAAAGACTCATTAAGAGTCGAAAGCGCTTAGGCTAGTTAGTTACTAGTTTCGTACTGTTCGTCGTCAGTTTATTGCATCTATTTTAATTAATCCCTGACAAACGTGATCCCTTGGTGGATCCAGTACGCTTGAGAGGGTTGTTATTCGCCATATGATTTGTATTCTTTATATATATATATATATATATATATATATATATATATATATATATATATATATATATATATATATATATATATATATATATATATATATATATATAAATTGGGCAAAGAAATGAGAAAACCCAAGTGACTAACTTATTCACTTTGGTATATACAGTTGATTGTTATAAACAGTTGTCCACTGAACTAATACATAATATAATATTAAATGATAACCATGGACATGTTACAATGTATCTTTTGTTATTAGTTTCCTCTTAGATCAAGTGGCTGTTATGACAAATTATGCTGTTTTTTTTAATATTCGTCGGAATCTGCAAACAGGGAGACTATATTCAATTCAGTCCTGTCGATTTTATTTAGTGTCAACGGAATGTGAGTATGGTGAAATCTGTCTGCCATTTGTCAGTTAACACGATTATTATAGTGGGCTGATACTCAATCAAGACAACGGGAATGCAAATTCCAAAACTGGGCATTGTAATGCGGAAGGCAGATATCTTTGCTATAGTGAATGGAACCTGTTCCTAAGCGTGAGAATCTTTATATTTATTAATAGAGAAAATATTATCAAGATGGTGATCAAGGATAAAAAAAATTCCTAAATTAACTAATAATGTAGACAGAATCGCTATTTGCTTTTTTAACAATTATTGAAAAAGTCAGAGGACACACACACACAACCCACAAACACAAACACACACACAATATATATATATATATATATATATATATATATATATATATATATATATATATATATATATATATTTCCAACTTACTTTTCATTCTTACCTCTGTTCAGTTTCCTATATCTGTCCACCCATCCTCTTATTTGAACCTACCGATCTATTGATATGTGTGTATTTTTGTTGGTTACATATTTATACCATTTGTCTTTTGTTTACATATTTGATTCTTTTATGTTGTAATTTGCATTCTTTTTTTGGGGGGGGGATGTATATTGAAACATTTAACTGTAATGTCTCTCTTTAAGGGTGGAATAAAAATAGTCAGACATGTACATGCAACTTATTTATCCATTGTACCATCCATGCATACATCCATGAATCCATAGTAATGATTGGGGGATATAGGCTCACATTGGGTCTAATGTTATATTCGGTCGTTTGCACTATTGGGTATGGGTAAATGGAACTTTAACGTGGACTGCTCTAGGGTCAATCGGAATTGACCTTACGGTACTGGACACTGGCAACAATGTTGCAAGTGGCTGACCTCATTCGGGCGGAACAGTGTGGCAAAGGACTGACCTGAATACACGCTGCTCTAAAGACAAATAAAGACAGACAGAGACATGGTTGGAGATGGAGTTAGAGACAGGGTTAGAGACATAAACATATGGCACAAAAATAGATTTATGAACATAAATAGACTAAAAATGTTTTAGGCAAGAGAGAATATATCTTTTCGATGCAATGGACTGGCCCTGTTTTCTTTTGTTAACATTATTCAGTGAACATAGAGGGCATCGCACAGATCTTCTGTTCCTTAAACTTCGTCTGACCTCTGGAGCGTAAATTAAAACTCTTCAGACTGCCTGGATTCTCCATATAGATGCTTTACTTTCCAAAGGGCTGTATCTGTCATATGGGTAATAGCCGATGATGATTTGACATACATGGGATTGAACAGGATCAACGATAGGAGGGTAAACGATTATACAGTGTGCTGTATTTCGACACGGACAGTTTCATTTATATCGATCGCCTGGGTCACCGACACCCTGGCGTCGAAGGAGACATTTTAGGAGCCCGGACGGACAAGCACCCCAACAACAAAATTCTAAGTTTTGCTAGTGGCGGTCCAAAACGTTAATGCTGCGAATACCGGGACCCACAAGGAGAAGTGCACACCGAGTGTAAATTGAAAGGAATGACTCTCACTTATCTCACCAGTCAAGTGATGCACTTTAGGGTATTGAAAGAAACCTTAGTCTGTAGAGGATAAAGATTTTAAAAATACCACTTACCAATCTCACAAAATCGGCAGTCGACATTTGGAAAAAGTGTATCAAATCGTGTACCAGAAGTAAATGCGGCTTCCCAAACACTTCACTTTACCGTACGGACACGTCGATATTGGTCATCATATCAGAAGGGGAAACTTCCAAGACCGATAGTTCATAGTGACTACCAATAACTTTCGAGAAAGATGAATCATTACAGACACCATTCGAGTCTGGTGATTCTCAATTGGAGTGCGATTCTATGCCTTGCGATTGCAGGATGCCATGCTCTATGACCTCAGTGATCCAGTACCACATCATGCGAACTTTTCTATGGCTACTACTATTACAATACCTACCATGGAATGTAATGTTGTCTGTGTCAAACCTGACGATGCGAAAGCAATGCCACTCATTATCGTGGACTCTTTACTGGTTCTTATCCTCAACGTGAAACCATGCAGCTACCACCTTATGGATGTCATCCATGACTGAGCGGACTACTTAGGGTTTTTACCGTATCCTCTTCAAACTGAACAAGTGAAAGAAGAATGTTCGTTCCTTGTGCGTTTGTCTGAATACTTTGAAAGTATATTCCAAAAGTTCAAAGGAAAATGGTCTATATATCTGGGAGGACCTACCCCTGAAGACTTAGCCACAACTGGATTTATCTATTTGGACGAAGGTGATAAAGTTAAGTGCTTCAGTTGCGGTGTATCACTTCACTAGTGGGAACTGAAAGATTCTGTTTACGTTGAACATCCTCAATGGTCGTGGCACTGTCTCTACCTACCTTTATAGGGACGACCTCAGGGGGCAGGGTCCAGTATTTATGTACAAATTTAATGCCGCAATCAGTGACCTAGTACAAAAAATCATAAAAAATCAAATACACAAGTGAGGTCAAGAATGTCCATATTTTGAGATACCTATATTAAAACAAAGCATAAAAATATTATCCACTTGACCAGAGAAGTCAGTGGCAGTTCATAGCAGAAGAAGTTTATGCACCCCAACCCCAAATTTATACCTGCAATTTTCATGTCCGAAGGTCATTTTTGACACCATGTGGTACTCACAGTGCAAACACAAGCCCTTTACCTAGATTACAATTCTGCCAAACAGTGTGTACTAAACAGGCTGATGCAGTTGAAAATAGTTGTCATCCATGCCGTTTTTGAGATATGCTCCTTGTCCCAAACCCACATGTTTACTGTTACGAGAGGCTAGCTCTTCTTCGTAGACAACTATTGGTATTTCACTATCAACATATTGCAGAGTAACTATGGAAGGTGTACATGCCTGACATCAATTTCAAGAGCAACACAAGCCCGAAACACCTAGCTCACAAATATATCCATATATTTAATTAGTAGACAATAATTGCTGAAAAAGTCACACCATAGCCTTAAGTTAAGAAATTTGCCAGGGGCCAAAATACAAAACTGTACCCTGCCTCCTTAAGAATTTGGGTCAAAATGGTTTACGTCACAAGTTGTGTACATATCACATATTTAGACATTATCTAGTACAATGGTATAGAGGAAAACCTTTTGTGTGCAAAATTAAAAATGGTATTACACTTTTAGGAAAGTGACTACTTTGCGGCAAAAAGCATTGCATTATTTACATTGTGAGTTATGACTGATTGCATTTCTTGAAAGATTTCAAATTGTTTACAAACTTCAATGATTTTCTCTTTGTTTACCACCACAGCATTAGGACAGAATCAAAATTCCTTTACAATCTTTCATGAATGTCAAGAAGAGGTTTGGAAGTTATA